TATATATATATATATATATATATATTATACTTTACGCATACGAATAAGTTGGTATACAAGCGTAGGAGTAAGGACTCTTTCGACTATATACGATTATCATCACGATTCGTGTCTGTGTTTAAGACCTTGACTCGGTTACCTTAATAAGATTAACCTTACGGGGATATGGGGGATACAGTATCACCTCTCTCTTTTTTTTCCATCGATCGTATCCAATGTCGCAAATCGTTTTGTGACCTAAAGGTCACATACAATCGGTGGATCCAACGGGAACCCGTAAAATAATTAAAATAATTCACTTCTTACCTCTTATTACAATCATTGATCGAAATAACAATCGAATAACAATTGTATTGTATATTATTTCAAACAAAAAAAATATATATATAAAATATTATTAAGGAAAAAACGTACCAGCACGGAAGATTTCACCGCATCCATCGCAACGGCTAGCAAATTGAGCGTCGTAACAGTTGCCGCAATAAATTTTATCCACCTTGCTTCCAAATTGTTTGTCAACCAAGGATACTCTGCACCTGTTGCAAAGGAAACAAGCCTCGTGCCAGTGCTTGTCCTTGTACGAAAGATCCTACGAAAAGAAACAATTAAAAAAAAAACAATTTATTTTCTATTTAATAATAATAAATATCACATTGCCGATATATCAACGCGTAAGTTAGTTTATTAACGAAGAATATAAAAGGATTAACAATAATATCTTGAAAAAAGAAATACGCAAAATGTGACGCGCAAAATAAGACTAACAATATAAGTTGATTCTATTTCGAGAAATGAACGAATATTAACGCCTACGTTTGGGGCTTTAAGCTTTGACGTTTCCGTTCAAACAATTATTATTATTATTATTATTATTATTATTATTATTATTATTATAATTATTATTATTATATTATCTATTCGGTCCTTGTTAAATCGTAACTCTTTTCTTTTTATATTCTTAACTTTATTACCGATCGGATAATAGTTATTGTTTTTAGTCACGCAATCCTTTTCTGTTATATTATTTAATAATCTACGTATGAGTTATCTCTCTCTCTCTCTTTCTCTCACATACACACACTTTTTTCCTCTCTTTTAAAAAAAGAAACGACATTTGTGATGTCATCAATGATTGAATCATCCTCGTTAACAGTTGTTCTCTCTCTCTCTCTCTCTCTCTCTCTCTATCTCTCAATCATTCTATCTCTTTTGCACATTCATTCGCTCGTCGTCCTTGTCCTTTGCGCATTAAAACTGCGACGTAAAAAAGACAAGAAGTAAAGAACACCGAGGTGATACGAAAGTTATCTTTTTTTTTCTTTCCCTCTCACTCTCACTCTCTCTCTCTCTTTCTCTCTTTCTCACTCACACTTTTTTTTCTTTCTCTGTGTGTGTGTTCTCACCTTCGAGTCAATACCAATGATTTTGTTGCATTCCTCGCAGCCATTAGCGAAAACGCTCTCGTAACACTTGATGCAGTAAGGATGCTCGTCCCTGAGAACGTAACGTTGTCCTGTCAAGGATTCGTCGCACTGCCAGCAACAAAAATGCCCGCTGTGCCAGTCCTTGTTCATCGCCTTCGTGTACTCGCCACTGAAAATCAACTGCAAAGAACAAAATTAACGATTTGTTAATTTATTCCATTCGTAATATCTTTCTTTCTTTTTTTTTTTTCGTGACATCCATTTTACCCGTTCGCCCCCCCCCCCCCCCCCATCCCTCCAAAAAAAAAGAAAAGTTGTTGTGAAATTGTTGTTTTCAATTTTTGGATGTCTTTTTTCTTTTTTCGTGACATTTAATTAAATCTGTGTTAAATCTGTGAAGTTTTCATTTTATTTCTTTTTCTGTGGAATATTATTTGTGACATTATCTCTGTGTGATTGTTTCATATAGTATGTAAATTTGTATCTGGTATCGAAAATTTTGTGCGTGTGTGTTCTTTTTTTTTACTAATTTGTTCTTAATTTATGACGTTTATAAAATCCTACAAAATTTCATTGCTAAACGTCGACGAACGAGAGTAACCTAATCGACCTTTTTGATCATCGATAGTGCCGAATTTACAAAGATAAGCGAGTTAACTTATACTACGACGCAATTTTTATTATCACATCTTTCTCACTCTCTCTCACTCTCTCACTCTTTCTCTCTCTTTCTCACTCTTATTCATTTTATATTTTATTACAAAATCATTCTTCAACATTATTCTTGTCAACGCGAACGCGTTTACAATCGTCGTAAATATTTCGGATTGTTGAACATTCGACGTTAAATTATTCGACAATATTATAATTTTTTTCTAATTAGGTATACGTATATATGTATAGTATGTATGTATGTATGTACCTTGGATTAAGTGCCTTCGTATGTGCTGGCTGAGTATGTTTGTAAGAAAATTTCAACGAAATTTTTTGCAAAGGTATAATCAAGCGAGTTTATTAATTAATTAACTTTCGTTTCATATTAAAAAAGAAAAAAAAAATACCAAGTATAATAATAGCAAAAATTAGATATTCTTAGTATAATTGTTCTTTTCGCAAACATCAAAGAAACGTAAAACGTGACTTCCAATTTAAGGATTGGAACAAAAAGTTATAGGAAGAAATCATGATAGATGAACAGAAAAAAAAAAGTTAATACACATATATATGTATTGTTCGTATGCGCTAAAAAAAAATTGATTAGAAATGAATTTATTTTTTATTTTAAAGACGGGGGGGAGGGGGAGTTAAGCAATAAAAAAAAAGAGAGAGAAAAAAACAACTTCGTACGAACAAAATCTTAGCACGAAGATTTACAGCACTTCGTTTGAAAGTGAAAATGTGGCGAAGAAGAAACAAAAAAACCGTGTTTCGGGGTCAGGGGGGAAGAAAAAGATCAAATCGCGAGAAGTTAGATTGTAATAAATTGCAAAAGGGTGGGTAATGATAAAAGAATTGAAATCAGGGTGTATCATCAGCCAGCACATACTCTTCGATGGCATGATGATTGTTCTGCGTGCTGTCGATTTCGGTGATCGTGACCTCGGCGTTCTGATCATGGCTCTCCCTACGTTTTGTCGTCTTCTTCACTTTGCGAACCTTTCGCTCGGTGGTCGAGTACACTACACTGTCTACGTCCGCCATCGTATTTTTCTTATCCCTTTTTTAGATTTTATTAGATTTTATTTTATTTTATTTGATATTTCTTCTTCTTTTTCTTCTCTCTCTCTTATATTTTACCCTTTCCTTATTTTTTTCTTTTTCTATCTCCGATCAAACTCTACAATACTTCGAAAGAGTGTTTCCTTAACGAAAAATTCAAAAGAATATAGAAAAGATAGAAATTGAATTTTGAAGTGGAAAAAATGAAAGAGACAACAACAACAATAACAATAACAACAACAACAATGTCGTTGTCGTCGTCGTTAGAAAAAAATAATAAAGAGAGAGAGAGAGAGAAAGACAAAAAGATAAATAATATTAATGAATAAATTCTACTAAACGGGGAAATTTGGTTTTTCGTCGATCGTGATCGTGAAAATGAAATCGAAAGTCGCGAGTCGCGAGATCGTTCGTTTCGTGCCCAGCAGCTTTCGAGCTTGCGAACTGACTGAAATCTAGGATCGGCTTGCTCCGGGCGTCATCATATCGGGACGCCGAAAATAGCGTCCCGACGACTCCAGAAAACGCCGCGCACTTCCCTCCTCTCTTCATCGGACACCTTTCCCTTCCTCCCTCCTTCCTCTCCTCGTCATCCTCCTCCTCCTCCTCCTCCTTCTTCTCTTCTTCTTCTTCTTCTCATCTTATTTTCCTTCTCTTCCATCACTGGCCGGACACTCCTACCAATCCTCGGTGCAGTGTGCCGGGTGCAACTTTTCTACGATGTGTGTTTCTCTCTCTCTCTCTCTCTCTCTCTCTCTCTCTCTCTCTTTCTATCTTTCTCTTTCTCTTTTTCTCAACGAGACGTATCTCCATTCTCGTTCCTCTCATTACCTTTCTCTATACCCTTTTAATACCGTTTCTGTGTTTCTATCTAACAATATAAAACTTGATAATCTTTTATTTTAAATCATAAACCCCGTAAGATTTGTGTCTCTCAACATTATGATTTTTTTTTACTTTGGTTTAATACTTTTCGAATAAAACGTTTCTCATTCATATTTAATTGTAAGATCATTTTTTCGGCTTGGATGGTATTTTTTTGGGTTTTTTTTCTTTCGTTTGAAATGTACATTTCGTATTTTTCTCGCATACCGATCGAGAAAATCATTCTAAATAGATTTAGCAAGCTGTTCTTCTAATGGTGTCTGTCGATATGTAACTTTGGATACGTGAGATTCGCTCAGTTGCTATAAACTGCTTCTTGCACGCATCTGGTTTGCGTTTACACGGCGGAAGTATCAATGGAAAAATATACGAAATCGTAATCGTCTATTCGGGATAATCTTATTGAAATTTTTTTTATTATTCAAATGATTAATAATAATACAAAGATATAGATCACATTTTCTTGATATATAAGATTTTCATTGGTGATATTTTGGATATTTTATAAATGAAATCTGTTTGCACTTTATTCTTTTGGTCACCCCGATAAAACGCGTTCTTTTTTCTCAGTGAAAAAATATATAATAAAAAAAAAAAGAAAAACAGATCAGATTGAAAATAATCGTAAGATTGTGAAGTATATAAACACTAAAGATATCTAAATTTAACGATAATAGTTACGCGTCCAAATCTTATCGTTGAGAAAGTTTTCGTAGAACACATCTTCGACCCTAACGCGACATTTTGATCGTTTGCCAAACAGGTGGTTCTTCGACTCCTCCGTTGAGGGCGAAGTGGGCGGAAAATAGAATCACGTTTAAAATATAGAAAAAGAAGTAAATACGGGTAATTGGGTCGGAATGTTTCACACATCACCAATAACTTCCACATCATACATACAACCAACCAAAACCCACCCACGCGAATTTGTTAACTTGTGTTTTAACTTTATTTTTCAAATTCTTCTATAAAACTTCTATCGACTCTCATTTCATCTAAAGAAAAGCAGCTTGTGATCTAAAAAGCAAGCGGCTCGTTCGCGTTGTTATGACTAGGAGAAAACAATAAACTTAAAAATTAAATGACTTTGGACAAAAGAAAGAAACAACCGTCGAGTAGCGAAAAATTTGTGAAAAAATCATTTTGAAATACGAGGTAAAATCCAAATACGATGAGGATGTAATTTAATCCGATCTGGACATCCAACGGTGAATAAAAATATGAAGAAGAAGAAGAAATAGCGAGAGAGAGATGAAAAGGAAAGAGGTAGGTCGAATTAAAAATATATTTTAGAAAAAAAGAAAAGAAAAATTTTCGTCGATGAAATTCTTCTTTGAGACGACGACGACGACGACGACGACGGCGACGATGTCGAGGCAATGGCGGCATCTTCCTCTTCGTCGTCGTCGTCGTCGTCGTCGTCTCCTCGTATAAATGTCGAGCACTATGCTCGCGATATATACGTATATTATTTGCAGACGAGTATGAGATTGATATTTTGGGAGACCCTACACGAGGCACACGGCACCAATAAATGCCGCAAGTAGGCACCCAATAAACGCTACCATTTCGTACAAATATTAAATACCTTTTCTTTACATTTCATTATTTTATTTATTTATATATTTATATTTAATCTCATGTCATGTGTTCTTTAAGAAACAACTTTCAAATAGTTTATGTTTGAACGCGCATGCGTATGTGTGTTAATATATTAATACATTGGAATGTATTCAAATTTCAATATCTTACCTATTACACGAATTCTATTGTAATTAATTACAATTGAATTAAAAATAACTATCCACCTCCCACCCTACCTACCTACCACCCTCCTATAACATATCAACGACAAAATTTGTTATTTTCATCGAATACGCGAAAACATAATATGACGAATATGAGTATACATTATAACGTAGGCGTGAATTCGCCCACCAAACGCGACCATGAACGCGACCGAGAAAGAAACAGTAGTAGTGGGTTGTTGTATTTCCAAATATCGCGATGTGTTTAAATAGGACGAACAACAAATGATTGAATTTTCTAGTGTAATTCGAGAAGATGAAAGAACTTCTTACTGATTGAGTTTTCGACCGCGAGGATATAGAGAAAAATTTCTTTTCTATCTGTCTTTCTTTCTCGTGAACTCTCAAACTATACTCATCGGATTACCCAGAAAGCTTTGTTCCGATCGGTGTCAGGTGTGGTGTATTCAATGTGTCCTTTTCCGTGGGTTGAACTCACGTCTTCCGCGCTGACGTATTCCTCGTCGTCCTCGAAAGAGGACATCGACTTGACGAATCCAATTGTATTTTCCTTATTCCCTCTCCTTTCATGATCCTTTTGGGTTGTCGACTCTGACTCTAAAAGGATGTCCCTGACCCTCTCGTAATCGTTTCTTTTAGCATCTTCGAAAGCAGAAATTTTCAATGAACTCCTAGATTGATCATGTTTCTCTGATTTTTCTACGTATGTTATGGCACGTTCCATAACATGACCATCATGACAATCCTCTGTACTCGTAGTATCTGTAGACGTTGATTTAAATCTTCTACGTTTGAATGAACTTTTAGCACGTTTCTCTCGAGAATCATAATCCCGTTTGCTTTCAGACAAACCAAATGCAGGATGATGATTATCCACTTGGAATTCTTCCGTTTCGAGTTCCTCGACAAATGGTTTCTCATCAAAACTCGTTTGTACTTGTACAGAAACACTTCCTTTGCTTTCCGATCTGGATAAACTCGGGCTACCAGGAGGTGACGTGTTTGTCCATTCGTCTTTTAAAAGATCGCGTACCGTTTGAACAGATATGTCTGATTTACGTCTCTCAGGTTCCCGTAATCTCTTTGATCTCTTTGTACTAAGATTTTCCGCTGATTTACTGATCTCGGTGTTCTTAGATTTCAATCTCGTTGCTTTACGTACGATAGTCGAAGTTGATTGTTTGATTTTAGATTTTTTAGATGACTGACGACTTTTGTCAACTTCTATTTCAGTTTCTCTTAGGTCAATGTAATCCGATTTTGTATAATTGTCCGGTGATTTAGATTTTATAATTGGTCTTTTTAAAATCGACGCAACTTCGTCGTCGTCGTCGTCGTCTGATTCGTTACCGGAGGAAGAAGAAATAGAATTCTTTTCGTAATTCGTTGTATCTCTAATTGATGATACATCGAACGATTTCGTAATTATTCGTTTTTCCGAGAGATCCTCGTCGAAAAATATTTCGGATTCGTTGCTCAAGTCCAAATTCAATTGTTGAGTAGAGGTCAAATTTGAAATAGATTTCGGTACACTAAAGTATCCTTCCGATTGTTCGGCAAACGTAGCTGCAGTAGCTTCAGTACGTTCGTTGACCTCACGAAATAGACGTTCGAAATCAGAATCAAATAATTTCGAATCGGATTTAGTAAGAAGAAGATCGGTAGTACTGCAATCGGAAAGCGTACTGCCATCAAAAGTTGGATCTTTCGATCGAATTTCGCTTCTTATTCTCAAACTGTATTCGTGAAGGTTTTCCAATTTGTATTTGGCGCTGGAAGATAAATCGAGATCTTTCGAATGACCGATACCGCATAAAGAATCATGTGCAGTAAATCCACCTTGGGGACGATCGTGGTAAGACAAACAAGTTGTAGGTGGATCGATTCGAATAATCGAACGATCGGATGCTCGATTAAAACACGTTAACAATTCAATGACTCCAACGCAACCAACGAGCACCGACAAAAGTAACCCCATTTTTGTCCTCCCCCCCTCGTTTTACTTGAAATCTTCTCTATTCGACGATCCTCGATTCGATTATTCTATTACTCGTACGTGGTGCCATTCAAAGTCGTTAAAATATATCTTCTCTAACCGATCTCTCTTTCTCTCTCTCTCTCTTACTTCGATAAAGATCAAATACAAAAGGGAGATTTCTCAATAATAATCCTTTATATACGATGAGTTATTGCACAACGATCATCAAATCGGTTCAACACTCCGCGAATGATCGCGTCGCGAAATCATTTTATTGGCACACGGTCGTTTCTATTAACATTTGATGCTAGTTTTCCAAGTTACATTTCTGGCTTAACGAAGAACCTCAAGTCTTAGATCTTAGATGATCACGATGATAACCATTAGTATCAAAAATATTTCAATTATTTTAAAATATTTATATATATAACATAATAATTCTATAAATACACATGAAAAAATGTATTTTTTTCCAAATGGATTTATCACGTGGCATAATAAATTCGATCATTTGTTTTGGATCGGTAAATACGAAACGGAAGATCTTCTTCGTCCATTTTCCTCTTCCTCTTCCTCCTCTTCTTCTTCTTCTTCTTCTTCTTCTTCTTCGTCTTGCGATTTTCGAGATTGCTGACGTAAGCAGAAGAAAGAGACGAGATTACGTAATCCTAAGAAGCAAAAAGAAGACACCCACGCTCGACTCGGTTTATTATGTCCACTACGTAACACGGACCCACGTATTCGTCTATCTGACCACGTTTCCTGATAATTCCTCTCCTATTCTCTATCTCCCTCTTTCTTTCTTTCTTTTATTTTCCTTCCTACCCCTCTCCTCAAACTTTCGTTTTCTTTTTTAACGATCCAAACGGAGACATATAATATACGTGGTCAAAAACCGTGTTAGGATTATTCTACGGATAGGTTTTGAAAAATCTTACTAACGAAAGAGATAGGTAATAATAAATCGAAAATAATTATTGAATAAACGAACAAATGAACTAATGAAAGAAATAGAATAATAAAGACAAAATAATTAAAAGAAAATAAGATTTAGGTCGAATAATATAGGAGGAGGGGGGGGGAAGGGTTGGTTGGTTAGTTATCAATCACACAATATTATCGACAACTATTTTTTTTTATCTATCTTATACGAGCGTATCCGATGAAGCACTGTTTTATTTCCGCGAGCGGAAAGCAAAGAACGCTGAGAGATGTTGGTCTACTCGTCGTTGGTTGTTAGCCGCCACCGTCGCCGTCGACTAGATGTGGCTAAATTCTATAATTAGAAACGAATAACCCTGGACGAATAAAATTGGTATCTATTAGATACGCGAATTAATTTGACAATAATATGATTAATAAGAACGAATCAATTTGAATAGTTTCGTTTATACGTAAGAATAATAATAATATGTTAACTGTGAAATAATGAAATTGGAAAATGTCAAGTACGTTTGGTGTATGTCAGAAATATTAATGTACAAGAATAAACTCAAATATTCGATCTTTCACCGACGTATTTGGTAAGTGTTGACAAACGATCAGGTGAATCTTAACATTATCCAATTTCGATCTTTCATTTATTTTTTACTCATTGATTATATCATTTCATGTCCATTATAGTTTGAATATACCTCATAAGTGAAATTGTTAATCTGTGGGCTGGTAGATAATGTTGAATTTGTTGTTGTGTTTTTTGTCCCATTCCCAACCCCAACTCCTCCTGCTCCCCTTATAAATTATGTTTTTTATTTCTTTCACGTCATACAATAGATGTGAGATGATGATCTTCTTTCCGTTACCTCATGGCGTCTTATGATTTCATCGTCGAGAGGATCTTCGGCACGCGCTTTGCGCTCGGTACACCCTTTTGGCTGGTCTCCAAAAAGATATCGAAACGAGTACGAAGCGAGCTTATCGAACTCTCGATGATCTATATTTATGCCCCTAAATCGATCGAATTTTACGAGGAAAGTCATTATTTACGAGGAGGATTCTCATCTTCTCTCTCTCTCTCTCTCTCTTTTTATCTACTCTCGTCGAAAAATAATTATAACATTTGTTTTCCTTTTTTAAATTCAATTTAATTAATATTTCGCGATATTATATTGTATGGTATATTCCGAATAAATATATTATATTGGATATAATTATAATATTATTTATTTTTTCAATATCGAATAACAAAATATCAAGTTATAATATAACGAAATTAAAAAAAATATCGAAACACACAATTGTATGAACATTTTTCAAATAAAAATTTGTTCTTTGAAATATTAATAAATATAAAATAATATAATTTGATGGACGATTAAAAGATGAAAATTATATGAATTATTTGTAAATAAATATTAAATACTAGAACGAAGGATTTGAAATATTTTGCTCGACTCTCGAGAGGATTAACAATCCGATGAGGATAATCATATAAGAGAAGATGAGGAAAAGGAAGAGGAAAGGGTATTCGTAAGATCCTTGTTTGCTTCTTAGCAAATTCATGACTGGCGCCAAAAATAAACGCATCCTCAACAGTCTATCGGAATAGGGAGCAAAAATAAATCGGCGCTTAACAGTGTGTCTCCATCTTACTCGTTTAAATACGCTAACAGATTCCTCTTAAATTATCTGACTTTCCGCGTGCTTGCACGAACGACAAGTAATTAAGACGAAGCCCAGGTGTTCAACGACACCAATCTACAACCCATTTTTTTATCTATTAACGCGATGATCACTTTAATTTATACAAATAAACATAAAATATTTCTATATTTTTATTATACGAGATTAAATAGAAATCGTATACCAGCATATAAATTATAAGTTAATTGTTTTCAATATTTTACGTAATTATTAAATTTGATTTGTGCACAAATTCGGCCTCCATCTCTTAACCTATCTAACTACGATTTTAATTTGTCTATAATTATCATTTTATTTCTTTTTATTGTCCATTGCAGGAATAAAATATATATTGATTAAATGTTAAGAATTCTAAGTTATACCTTTTGGTAATTAATTTCAATGTGTTAATATGTAATTTAAGAAGAATTATCACGAAAACACAAACAAACAAATCAGAGAATCCAATCAAAATTCGTACATATACAATAGATAATAAAATATTAAATAATAGTACATGAACAATACAACTGTTTATAGAATTTCAAAATGTTAATTGAAAAAAAAAACACCTCCCCTCCAAAAAACTGAATAAAATCCTATAAGTGTGTGTGTAATCGTAGGTGAAGGAAGTATCATTGAAGAAAGGTAGAAATTAGTCGACCTCCTTGCCATGAAAGACGTTTCTGGAGGGAAACGGAACAATGCCAATGTTATTTCCGTCGATGATCGAACCTGAGCATGCCACGGTCGGAGAAAAGCGTGCCACCGAATCTTTAAAGCCCCTTTTCAGCTGACCGAATTAGATCCGTGAAACAGCCGCCGCGGCTACCACCGCGTAGGACGACCTTCCTTCACACGAACACTTCGAACCTGGTTCCACCATGCTCTACCTGGCTCTACCGGGTTCTACCTGATCTAATCTTCCTTTTTCATTTCCTGGAAAATGTTTCCTTAAGACAATCCGTTCAAATTTCCTTATCCCTTATTCATCTTTCCAATTTCACATTTTCATTTGAAATGAATTATTTTATTCGTAGAACGCGATGTTCATCCCTTTCAAATACATCTTTTACCGTACGTATATTATATTTCATTTATTTTTTTCCCCGTTACACAAACTTGGATAGAGGATTATTCCTCCCCCCTCCCCTATCAGGGTAAGGGAATACCTTGAGAATTGATTTTTGTTATTCGAACGAACGATTAAATCAAACCTACGCGCTCGTAAATGACAATCTATGTTTAAATTGAAATAAAACAATTATCAAAACTTAAAAGAGAGAGAGATAGAGAGAGAGAGAGAGAGAGTGAGAGAAAATATATCTTTCGAAATATTTAAATTTATATTATACTCCATACGTTGCCTGGGAAGCTTATTTAAATTCGCATAGAAATGAGATGATACAAGAAGAACTCAAGAACGATAATAAGTTTTCTAATTTATTACTCGGCACGTTGTTTATAAAACGTCAAATCCGAATGTCCAAAGTAATGTATCACCGGCAACGAATAAGTAGACCCAACTAACTATAAATCAATTTTAATCCTTCGTAAGACACCCCCAACCCATATCTTATATCTTTATTCTCTAAATTTTATAAGAGAAAAAGAAAAAAAAAAAAAACACATAAGATGCATATATTAGAAAATATCTTCATTTATTTATTTGCAAAAATATTTTTTCGCGTTTCAATACTCACGTACTGTGAGTAAAGTGCAAACGCCGCTAGTTTTAACACATCAACGAATCGAAAATAGATTTTAAACGTTAGAATTTTAAGTTGGAAACTATAAGTATAGGAGATGGTTACGTCACTGGGTTGTAAGGTAACGCTTGCTTTGCATTTGTATAAAGGCAGCCTCTTCCTAGCTTTAAAGCTCAGAACAACGTTGATACTGCTAAACCTCCGTTACTGTACGCTTTCTATATCAAACTGTTTCTTCTTTTTCTTTTTGTTCTTTTTTTCTTTAACCTTATTATCAATAATATTCTCATCAAGTTACACTTACCAAAAATTAATACGTAAGCTGTCTTCGTAACTTTTCTCGTTGATAAGATTTAAAATAAAACGAAAAGAAGGAAGAACCTGTTTCTTTTTTTGTTTCTTTTTCTTCTTTTTCGTTTAACTTCGACTATTATTTTCGATTTATCAAAGGTTTGTTTTTCTAATGTTACGCGACGAAACGTTTTACACGAACTAAATGAACTTGTTCGAGATTTGTTTTTTTTTTAATTAAAAGAGAAAGATAAAGAGAGATAGAAAGAAAATGAAAGAAAGAGAAAGAGAGAGAGAGAGAGAGTTCGTTAATACGAACACAGATCTCTACTTTATTGTAGAAGATTGTACGAGAATCGTGCACCTTCGATGACTGGCTCTAATAAAAGATGAGAACGGGTTAGGTCTCTTCTGGATAGGTCGAGATCGTGGTGGGAGCTTCGACACGAAGTCAAAATAGATTACCGACCTCTTCTTGCTAACCGAATTAACGTATTCCTTTAGATTTTATTTCAGATGGAAGGAAACCATTATTATACACCAACGTAAATTTTCCTCCTATTAGGAAAATTTCGAAAGCTAGTAATATTTCTTAAGAAAAGTTCAGCATCTACTAACGAGAAGGATGCCAAGATTAGTAATATGGCACAAAACTTCT